GAGCGAACGTCTTTATTACGCCTGTTTACCGCGGTTGTTAACCGCATGCTAGATGCTCAAGCTCAGTGGGAAGATCTGATGAGCAAAACGGACTTTTCGGAGCACCCAATAGACTCTTGCTTCCATAGCCTTGGGCAGGCTGCGTTTCAGTTTTCAGGGTATGCAAGTACGCGCCTGCGACGCCATTACATTAGGAAGAAGGTGACAGTGACCGAGTTGTCCGATGATAGATGTGAAGTGCAAGGTACCCGTAGACAGTACACCGTGTTAATGCTTGCGGAGGCAACGTGCCAATACAACTTTAGTCGGCAATGGCTGCTTCCATGAGCCCATATGGTGCATGCATTGCACGCGGCAGGCAGACCGGTTGAGGACATATTGCGTAACAACCGGTGGGTTGTGTCGCACGCGCGACATCCGCGTTTAACAGCATCCACGTCCTCCGCCATCGTCCCAATACCGCCGAGTTCTACAGTTGCACCGCTAAGTAGGGAACAGAAGCTTCGGGAATGCAGTCAGGTTCTGGGTGATATTCAAATGCAGGTTTGCAGCCTTGGCGATGCGAAGTATAGGGAGGTTATGGATCAGTTGCGGGAGTTACTACGCTACCTACACAGCTCTCAAGAGGACATTGCGGTTTCCGCCTCCGCAAACATAATTGATTCGGCTGCGGAAGGGACGAGTGAACCTACTAGGGAAGGCACAAGACGTAAGCAACGTTTAGCGCCCATTCCGGTTTCGTCCGTGGGTCTCGAGCAGGAAAGGAAGGCACTTCGTTTTAGAGAGTTGCACACGAAAACCACCAGGGTGTATAAGCCTCCAAGGAATCGTCGTTGCCATGCAAAACTCCCAGCCAATAACGACAATGACACGTGCGCTTGGTGCCTCCAAACTGACTGCGAAGCAACAAGTGGACAGGTGGTTGACTGGGTCACGTGCTCCGACTGCAGCTCTCAGTATCATCAGCTGTGCGTCTCGTACAGTGGACAGGACCATTTCACCTGCCAACGGTGTTTGTAAGTCCTCCATTTTCATGTTGCTACCTTTTTCTCTCTTTTTGACTACTATCTGATCATGCCTCCATGGGCGTGCCTCGCATAGTCGAGCATAAAATATTTATTTTTTATTTACTCCATTGCTTCCGCTTGGTCGTTAGGCACACCCACTGCTCCCATTCGGGTTGCCGCCACTACTTGACAGTTGTGTCACGTATGCCTACCTCGGTATCGGGATCACACATTTTGGGGTTGTTAGGTGTACTTAAGGACATCAGAAGCACCCGAAATTCCCCTGAATTTTGCAGATACACATATACGTATACCTCCTTTGTGACAGCCTCATCTTTTAAACAACCTGAAGAACCATTGCGCTTTCAAGGCACCAGGATAGCATGCATTGACAAGTTAAGAAGCACGCTTGACGTAGAATACCTGGTACATGTATTCCTTGCGCTCACGCTGCATTTTTGACATCATATTACCTCCCAGCTGCTTAGTAATCCGCCGCGTGGGGATGAGTGTGAATGACCTTACCCAAACGTGCGTGAGCATTTTGCCTAGGATTGAACAGTATATCCTTTCCTTTACCTTGCTTGCCGCTTCTAGTTACGGTGGTTAAAAGACCACCTGTTGTATGGTCCTGCATTATCTCCATTTCAGGCAGTCCGTTATCCCATCAGCAATACTTGGCATCCTGATTGTTAGAAAGTACCTTCTTGTGAAGTCTTGCATAACACATGTTCCATTCCCCGCTCCTTCCGTGAACCTATTAGACCATACCACGGTATTGCTATATACTGTTTCCTCTGCACCGCCCCCAACACACTGTGTTTAGGCTTGCGCACCTCGGATGAATGCGGAGATTAGGTTCACAAAGAACTTGGCCGCTGGGATTACGAAACAGTGGCACATAAGCAACGCTAACGACGACAACATTACGGGAAGCTGCTTAGACTGGGGAACATCCCAGTTAATGTACCAAACCATCTACCACGGCCACTACGTGTGGTACTCTGTACCCCTGAGGAACGCAGTGCTGTCATGCGGTTCGCCTTTAAACCGACAGGTGTAAACTTTAGCGTTCAGCCGGAACTTCCGCTGGACAATAGGCTGAAGATAAGGGAGGCCATGAAGGACGTGAACAGTAAGCGATCGGCATGTGAACAACGTCTCCGGTTAGTGTGTTTCCGGGTGGTCAGCCGGCGGCCCTTCGTCGCCCTTTCAGTGCTAATTCCGGTAGCGCACGACCAGGTCCGGATCTGACGATTACCTTCACATACCGCTGTACTAGGCGCACCCCAGGGACTAAGGTGTGCCAGTTAGGTCTCCTTGTACATGAGTGTCATCCCAGTGCACTGGATTACCGCGGCCAGGCTTGTCCGCCCTGCCTCCTCAGAGACAAAATGGACCTACTGAGGGCTTTACGGGTGCGTACTATATTACTCCTGGGATTACGGGGACGCAGTACTCCGAGGGTCCACTTACTTTGGAAATACATTCTATCCACTACCGAAGGATTAGAGGACACCTAATCCTAACCTACAGCATCTTCACTGCGAAGCTTGGTGAATATGTATCTGACCTATTCACTCCCGCTACATTAGCCACTCTACGCGGTCACTCCTTGTAGCTGCACTAATCGCGTTTCAACATGCTTCCGCACAGTGTTAACAGGGAATTTACCGTTAAGGGATTCCAGCGGCAACTTGACGCCCTTGCTTGGCAACACAAAACTTTTCCATTTCCCTTAGTAACTCACATCTTCGTACTTCAACCTCCTTTTCTCTACTTCACCTCAAGCATTGATACTATTTTCCATTTTTAATGTGCACTTCCTTTTTCTGTACCTTCCATTTCTCACTTAACAGCGCTCTACCCGCGAACTACCGGCCTGTCAGTTTGACAAGCGGAGTAGTCAAGTTGTTCGAAAAGCTTATAAGGGATTCAGTGGAGAACCACCTGAATAGATTCAACCTTATCAGTGTTGCGCAACATGGATTCCGCAAAGGATTTTCATGTCAGACTAATCCACTTGTAGCTCGTGAAAGCTGGGCCGAAGCGGTAGACAGCGGCCACGCGGTAGACGTGCTATTCGTGGACTTGTCGAACGCTTTTGACAATGTACCTCATATCAGACTCTCGGTAAAGTTGAGATCTTACGATATATTTGAAATGGGTGTCTACTTTCCTTGAAGGGAAGGAACAATGCGTACGAGTGCGGCGTAGTCTTTCGCTCAGGCAACGTGTCGTTAGTGGTGTCCCAAAGGGCTCGGTATTGGGGCCATTGTTGTTCGCGATCTATGTAAAGGACTTGCCGGAGGAGCTAGAAGTCTCATCACTAATGTCTGCTGACGACCTTATGCTCTGAAATATTGTGAATATCCCGGGGGTCCCGAGGCAATTCAGCATGCCTTGGAAATGCACTGGGAATGGTCTACCTTATGGTTGATGCCCATAAATAGGGCCAAGTGCTCTGTTCTCAGAATCGGAGAATCTAATCTTCCTACGCGATAGGTTGTCGGCCGTGGTGAACTCCTTGTTGTCACTCAGCAGGTTGATTTAAAGGTCGTACACTCATCAGCACTCCATTCTGGAGACAATTGGAAGGATGGTTATCGGGGTTTCGTATGGTATGGTTTATGCGCCGAGCTGTCTGAATACTAACGGTCAATTTGTTTGTAAAGCTATTTTCAGCATTCGTCCGACCCCATTTGGAATATTGTATTCAGGCTTGTCCACCATGTCTTAACCGAGACAAAATGGACTCGGAGAGGGTGTTACGAGTGGGCACTCGGTTAGTGCTGGGTGTACGGGGACAAAGGTATCCTGAACGTTTGCTTAATTTAGGGATGCACTCCATGCACTACCGAAGGATAAGAGGGGATCTGATTCTCACCTACCATATTTTGACGGGTAAGATCGGCCCGGACTTGTCAGGGCTATTTAGTCCCGCTACGTTACCTAATCTAAACGCTCACCCACTGAAACTGCATAAAGCACGGTCTGATAGGATTAGGACGGAAACTCGTCTGTCGCACCGAGTGACAGATCGCTGGAATTCGCTTCCAGATCAAGTTGTTAGGGAACCTACGGTTAAGGGTTTTGCGCGCCAGGTCTATACTTTTGGGTGGCAACAGCAAACCTTACCTTTTTCCTAGCTGACTCAACTTTTGTTTCCAGTGCTTTTTAATGACTCAAATATCTTGGTATTTCACTTGCTTAGCTCTTTCCACTTTCACATTTGCCTTTTGACTTTACCTTTTTCTCTCTCTTACTTCAATTAACCGACCCAGCATGGACTGCTAGGGCAGGATACGTGGGTATTAATTGGTTTGAAGGGGTGTGGTGCGCTCTTTGTTTTAGGTCCATCAGTATTTCAAAGTTCGCCAACTCCTGGATCAACGACCCGCTGAAGAAGGAACATTTACGGGATAATCCTATCGTTCCAGTCCCGCTTGAACTTGAATTTGAGACAACAAACCCCGGTCAACCAATTACTGCTCGCCTTCCCTACAACAGCAGTCCCAGTACTGAAAAAGTTACCAACAAATGTCAACAAAACGCTTGGTCAGATACCAGTTTAATCGATGCAAGTTTTATTGGTTTCGATAAAATTGGACAATAATCAAATGTTTTCACCTATTTATTGAGCTACATTGACCACAATAATTCAGCAAACCAACACGAATAATATGGCACGACAACAACTCGAGGTACTGCGTCACACAAAAGCAAAAAGAGTCATGTAGAAGAAGGAACACTAATGGATTTATCACTTTGCTCCGGTCCTAATTGAACTGGAAATTGTGGTTGCTCATGTAGCTCTTAAAAACAGTCAAGCAAAATCCCAAAATATAAAAAATAATGAGCGCATCGAGAATAGAATTAACTGTGGAAGGTTTTGACTTTATTATGTGCATAACTTTAAACTGTTTTGTTTTACTGCGTTTTCAACCTTGATAATTCGCAAGGTCCTTGGTTTTTGAAACTTTGGTTTTTTAGGTAGGCTTTTGTTTATTATGTACCTTTTTTAAATGGTTATCAAGTTTTCTTGCTACGCGTGAGTGTTTTTATTGTGAATATACCGTTGCAATACTCGATATTTATCATTATTACATTATCTGTGCTATTTCTGGGGTATTTGCTCCCACTTTCAGAGGTATTTATCCCATAAGACATTGGACTTCACGCAGATACCTTAACAAATAGATCATTATTTATTGTTTTTTTGCTTTCAGTTGATTACGCGCATATTTTCGTTTAATGGTCACCCTAACTTCCTATTTGCTTCGGTTTTGAGCGGTGTTGGATTCACTTTCCTTTTCTAATATGGATGCTGCGTACGCATACTTTAACTGAAATGTTTTGACTATTATGTGGGTTACGTTTAGTATTTTATTCTACCCCTGTCGAAACCATGGATACATATAGTATGCTGACTGTCCGTCTTTAGGATTCTGTTCTAAACACTGGAGCTAACGAATAATCGTAGTATTTTCCCCTTTGTGCGGTTGTACGACATGGGGCGATCGTTGGAAGTGGTTTACATTAAGGAGGCTTCGAGATCCCTCTGATGTAAATTGATGGATACCTTTTTTAGGCAAGGAATGCTCATGCTCTACTGCTACCGTTGTGGAACACTACCGCCACAACTTACATCATCTATTCAGTGAACCTGGGAGTGATGTAGATGACAGGTTATTCTTTCTGCTCTCTACAACTAGGGAATTGTAATCTATGGAAAATTCTGAATGTAATGTTTCAGTTACCTCCCTGATTTTACTAAACCTTATTTTTAAATTGGCCGTATTTTAACTTGCTGTTTCTATGAAAGTGTGGAGTTTCCTCAGTGAGACACTAGTTCCAGAATATTTCAAGTAATTATTTAGCTGCGTTTTCTGAATACGCACTTCCGCACTCTACTTTTATAGTACAGCGTCAGATCCGGTCTAAACGCTGTTCGTGCAATTACCTTGAGTTGCCACATATGCTAGACCAACTCATGCGTATTTCCAATGGAATTTCAGTGGTCAAGCCTTAGTTCTCCATTTTTCATCAATTGTATAGTAACAGCACTCTGTCTAAGCAGCCATTATGTATAAACCAAGACCTGTAACTGTTGGACTAATTCTGAAACCATTTCGTAATTCATCGTGTGCAATTTTTCTCTAGCCAAATCTGCAGTTAAGTCTTTGGCTCTTCACCCAAGCTTATTTCAAATCAATACCGACAGCACTAAAACGATCAGTAGTTAACTCTCCGAATCTTTCTGTTACAATATTTGAGCCTTTTGTAAACAACCTTTTCACATTTGTACTCATATTGTATGTGACAGTTCTGACTCAAAACTTTTGTCATGTGCATCATTATCCCGTCTTGATTTTTGTATCTCTTGTCGGACAAAGTCACGCTGATTCTTTCTTTTTCAGATTCTTCTGCGCGGCGTTTCGCGCCATCTTTTTCCTCCTTGGCATCTGCGGCTGACATGCGGTATGTCTGGATATCTGCTGTCAACTTAGTGCCTTTATCGTTTAGTATTTGGGAACAGTAGTATAAGCCTGTATTCCCCAGTCGGTGTACAGCAACTCGACGGGATCATGATGTATACTGTTAACTGCCTTCCTTATAACGTCTGTAGGTTCGTTGCAGAGAGTGCATTTACTACTTTTCTGGACTTTTTCGTCGGACTTGTTCACTATTCTTAAGTTCTGTTCTTTTGTTCGTACACGGACATCAGCCTGTATAACTTAACCACTTTAGAATACTCCTGTCACTGTGACTATTGCAGAGCTCGTATTCGTTTAACATGTCGTCCTGAATTACACAGTAGTCCTGCGTTTTTCGTTTGAGTATCTACTAGTGTTGTTCCTTTAACCCTTCCATATCACCTTTCACCCGATTCTAATAGCTCAATTTTTGGTGATCGGTTAACTGTAATGAATCGCCTCGTCTCTTTTCTTCCGGTTTCATGTCGGCGCCGATGTTCATTACGAACCGAATTAGAGTATTTTTAAATTATTTTATATTCGTTTTTTGCGGATACGTCTGCTTTTCTCTCGGTTTTTGTGACACCTCGCTAAATCGTCTTCTCCATGCACAAGTTAACTTTTTTTACTGCTATGTGTGCGTCATTTGAACTGCTAATTACTACTGAGGCCTCAGCATTATCTATAAATGGCGTTCCTTGTTGTGCTGGTTCGGTCCCTATCTATCGCTCTTTGTCATTTATTCATGTGTGAATAACATTTTCCCACTAGCGAGATGCTTACTACTCAAAATATGTACCTAACCATCCGTGTTCATGGGATCATTTATAGTCAAGTTCAAGCGGGACTGGAACGATAGGATTATCCCGTAAATGTTCCTTCTTCAGCGGGTCGTTGAACCAGGAGTTGGCAGACTTTGAATTACTTATGGACTTTAAACAAAGACCGCATCACACCCTGCCCAACCAATCAATGCCCACGTATCCTGCCCTGGCATTCCTTGCTGGACCGGTTACGTGAAGTAAGATGAAAAAGTAAACTCAGAAGTCAAAAAGAGAAAGTGAAAAGAGCTAAGCAAGTGAAATACCAAGATATTTGAGTCATTAAAAAGGGACTGAATAATGAAAGCGAGTCCGTTAGGAAAAAGGTAAGGTTTGCTGTTGCCACCCAAAAGTATAGAGCTGGCGCGCAAAACCCTTAACCGTAGGTTCCCTAACAACTTGATCTGGAAGCGAATTCCAGCGATCTATCACTCGGTGCGACAGACGAGTTTCCATCCTAATCCTATCAGACCGTGCTTTATGCAGTTTCAGTGGGTGAGCGTTTAGATTAGGTAACGTAGCGGGACTAAATAGCCCTGACAAGTCCGGGCCGATCTTACCCGTCAAAATATGCTAAGTGAGAATCAGATCCCCTCTTATCCTTCGGTAGTGCATGGAGTACATCCCTAAATTAAGCAAGCGTTCAGGATACCTTTGTCCCCGTAGACCCAGCACTGACGGAGTGCCCACTCGTAACACCCTCTCCGAGTCCATTTTGTCTCGGTTAAGACATGGTGGACAAGCCTGAATACAATATTCCAAGTGGGGTCGGACGAATGCCGAAAATAGCTTTACAAACTAATTGGCCATTAAGATTCCGAAAGAGCGGCGCTTAAACCATACCATACGAAACCCCGATAACCATCCTTCCAATTGTCTCCAGAATGGAGTGCTGATGAGTGTACGACCTTTAAATCAACCTGCTGAGTGACAACAGGGAGTTCACCACGGCCGACAACCTATCGCGTAGGAAGATTAGATTCTCCGATTCTGAGAACAGAGCACTTGGCCCTATTTATGGGCATTAACCATAAGGTAGACCATTCCCAGTGCATTTCCAAGGCATGCTGAATTGCCTCGGGACCCCCGGGATATTCACAATATTTCAGAGCATAAGGTCGTCAGCAGACATTAGTGATGAGACTTCTAGCTCCTCCGGCAAGTCCTTTACATAGATCGCGAACAACAATGGCCCCAATACCGAGCCCTTTGGGACACCACTAAGGACACGTTGCCCGAGCGAAAGACTACGCCGCACTCGTACGCATTGTTCCTTCCCTTCAAGGAAAGTAGACACCCATTTCAAATATATCGTAAGATCTCAACTTTACCGAGAGTCTGATATGAGGTACATTGTCAAAAGCGTTCGACAAGTCCACGAATAGCACGTCTACCGCGTGGCCGCTGTCTACCGCTTCGGCCCAGCTTTCACGAGCTACAAGTGGATTAGTCTGACATGAAAATCCTTTGCGGAATCCATGTTGCGCAACACTGAGAAGGTTGAATCTATTCAGGTGGTTCTCCACTGAATCCCTTATAAGCTTTTCGAACAACTTGACTACTCCGCTTGTCAAACTGACAGGCCGGTAGTTCGCGGGTAGAGCGCTGTCACCACCCTTAAAAATCGGACAGATTATTGCCTCCTTCCATTCCGAAGGTAGGATGCAGCTTTCAAGCGTTATTGAAAACACACATGTGAGAAGACCACTCAGTTCAGTGGCCAATTCATGCAACAGCTTCGGATGAATTGAACCACGACCGGAAGCTTTCGAAGTATTAATGCCTTGCAGTAGCTCGAAGACCTGCCTCTCCGTTATGTTAAACTCAGCTAAGCAAGAATCCTCTGGAACTCGTGAAACCAATTCAACCTATGGTAAAGAGATCTAACAAATTATCCCAGTATACTGATCACTAAGTATACAAGCCTTGTCATAGTCACTTTGCGCACGGGTCCCGTCTGCTCGCAATAACGCTGGTATCGGCAGTTTTGCCCTACTGCGTCTTTTAACGTAAGCAAAGAGCATCTTGGGATTAGCTGCGGCTGAGTCCGCTAAACCCTGTTCGTACTGGAGACGAACACTCCTGAAATGTTGCTTACATTTATTTCTAATCTCTCGATAACTGTCATAGGTACTGGCTGATGGAGCTGCTTGGTAGGTTCGCCAGCATCTAGACCGTTTCTTGGGTGGGTATTTGTCTGCGGTATCTATCCATGGAGGGTGTGCCAGTAACCCTTTTTTCTCATGAGTGGAATATAGGGAGTGGAAACCTCCGAAAGGTATGCCTTAAAGTTATCCAAGGCTAACTGGACAGTGTCGACCATCGAGATCTCACAGTTCAGAACTGAAGTATTAGCTCGCATTGCACTAAAGTCCTCCCGCCAAATATTCGGAAGTAATACAACAGCGGTCTGTTTGTGCCTTGAAAGAGCACACCGAAAGGATATGCATGTGTGATCGCTGGACCCCAGAGGTATACCGTATGAAACGTCAGTCACGAAGTCGAGGGACTTAGCGAAAACCAGTTCTAAAGTAGATGGTATTTGGTTGTCCACATACCTAGTGGGGAAGTCCACGAACTGGTAAAAAGGCACTTGGAGAGTCAGTTCAAGGAAGTCTGCACCGCATGTTCCTGACGCTGAGTTGCAAAAGATATCGGCCCAACAGACTTCCGGGAGGTTGAAATCCCCTAGAACCAAACACTTATTCGCAGACTGAGTGCGAGTAAAGTCAATTATCCCCCTGGAAGAACTTCCAGGACTTCTGTATATCACTACAACTGTGAACTGGGTAGAGGAAGTGCACAAAACAGCCGATAGGGCTTCAACAGTCTAATCCGACGACTGCAATGTGCAGGTCCTCAACGCATCTAAGTTACAGCTCACATAAAGTGCAACGCCTCCGCTTTGACGACCAAGGGAGCGATCAAATCTAAGGCAGTGCCTAGCCAGGTAAACATACCTCACCGTCCTTCATTTGTTCTCATTCATAATTATTGCGGTTGTCTGCACCAAGTCACTGTACCATCACATGATTCTGAAAGCAATTTGCAATAAATTAAAATCTCAGTGAGCGAAGTCGACAGGTGGGAAACTTCGGATATCTGATGCTTCTCCGTATTAATTTTTTATTGCTCTCGCGTCTAGTTGTCAGCTCTTCACTCCCAACCTTCCTGCTGCCTTTTGTCTTGTTTTCTTTTCATACAGTTTTCACTTCATAATTTATTGAACGTGATCCCGTTCCCTTGTTAAAGCAACGCAATCCATGATACTTGCATCCCCATGACCTTGGCTCACGGTTCATGGCCGATCCACCATCATCGCTACTCGGCCCGGTCAAACAACCTTACTCAATTCCACAACATGCAATTGATCCAGGTATCACTTCCCGCGTCACCAAATCCGGAACCGCATGCCACCAACCATGTATATGGTTGGCGTCATCCGGTTCCGGATTTGCGTCACTGCGGTCTCCACAGGGACAGCACAGAATGTCTGCGCCTACAGAGGGACTATGAGTGGCTTGCGCCGCACAGCCCTCAGCTCCAACCACACACCTCATATCCAGTGTAAACCAGGCCGGTGGCAGAGTAGTCAGCGCGTTTGGTTTGCAACCACAAGGTCACCGGTTCGAATCCGCGTAGGGATGAGCGTCCTCGCGGTCTACTCAACCCGCACGTGACTAGTGGTGGTCGCGCGGCAGCGAAGCGCCGTTACGGCGTACAGCTGACACATTATTAGTGTAGACCAGGAGGCGTGTGGATGGGAACCACGTTCCATCAACGGAGCCCGGCTAACACTTCTTCACAGGCAAACACAAGTGCGTTGTATTTGGTAATCAGTGGCACACAAGGCGGTGACTGGACCGTGCTCCACTCCACACTGAGTGAATGGAACCACTCTTCGAGACTAGCGCGGACACGAGGACCGTGCACCCCGTCCCCTCCAGCAACGACCAACTGTCTCCTGGAGCCAGTATGGACGAAGTAGTGGGTACTAGACAGGTAGGCACCTTGTCACCATGCACATCAAGTGCAATCACATCGGGGATATCAAACAACAGCCAATCCCATAAAATGAGAAAAACAAATAATGCATATCGAATGAAGCATACGGAAATCCCGGCATAAATTTACGCTATATAAGCATATGTACTAAATTGGTTGCCAACACATCCGCGATAAG